GCCAATCCCACCTCTGACTGGCCCCGCCAACCCCATCTCTTCTCTGCCTCCCATTGAGTCCCAGCTGATCGGCTGGGTCTTCTTTGGTTGCCCTGCCCAGGAGAACGGAGCTGGAAAGCAGGTCAGGGGGGTGGGGAGGGAAGGGGGATTTTGCAATATCCTTCCCCTGCCACGCCCACCAAGCCACGCCCACAGAACCAGTAGTAAAAAAAATTTGAATCCCACCATTGGTCCGAACCCCCTGAACACCCCCCACCACTCTTTCACTTTCACTCATCCCCCACGGAGAAGAGTCTCTCTTAGGCTCCAACAGGCTGGATTGTAAGTTTCTTTATTTGATTTAAATAGCGATCATTAGCCAAACAGTTCTGGAATCAAACAGGAAAATATAATTATTTGCCCTCTACAATTGTTGCGAGGGATGAGACCGTCTTCTTGGCTGCAGCGAGACTTGGAGCGGGAGGGTCAGGGATCCAGGACTGCCGTGGTCAGTGTCTACCAAGGAAGGAGAGGTCGGTGCCCCCCCACAACCCTTCTTCGGTGGGCGGGTGAACCGGACAAAATATTTACAGTCCATTCACTCTGTCCAAGAACTTCTCTGCTTCTTCACAGGGCAGTCAGTTGCCCCAAAACCATCCGGAACTGCTGAGTGCTGTTTGCCAACTCGTGCACCCGTTCCACCATGTCTTTGGCAGCGGCCGGGGACGGGTACTGGAGGGCAGCTGTCTTGGTGCTGGCCACGATCTCTTTGAGCATGTCGCAGAGGAGGTTGCTGTACTGGGTGACTTTCTGGCGGACCTCTTGGGCCTTTGCCTGGCGAGACAGAGTGTCCCCGATGAAGACCAGCTTGTGGGCACTCAGGATGACGAATTTGCTGTGCGCCACGAAGATCTTGGGGGGCTGATTGGTGTTCACGGCAGTGAAGAAGGCGTCCACGGCGTTCGTCAACGTCGTGAGGTTGGCCTCGCACTGTTCCAGGTAGAAGAGCAGCAGCTGCCGGTCAGAGGGGCCCAGAGCTGTGCCGCCACCCCGCATGTGGGGGTAGTGTTGTGGGGGTGTCCAGCTGGACAGGTCGTTGTCGATAGGGCGGGTGACCTCCTGTTCCAGGCGCTCAAATTGCTTCAGCTGTGGGCAAAGGACAAAGGTGAACACCAGCCCGACTGCAGACTTCAAGGAAAGCCAAGCCCTTCTCCCCTTGCCCTGACGGTCTGCAAAAGGTGCAATTATCGGCCCATAGAGGAGTTCATTAAGTTGATCCTTAGGATCATTAGGCGTGTGGTATTTTAACTAACTTCAGCTACCGTATTTCCCAAAAATAAGACCTAACTGGAAAATAAGCCCTAGAATGATTTCTCAGGCTGCTAATAATATAAGCCCTGTCCCCCCAAAAAATAAGCCCCAGTTAAGTTCAGCCGGATGGATGCATTTAGTACCATACTTTCCCCAGAATAAGACCTAATGGGAAAATAAGCCCTAGCACTAGTTTTTCAGATGCTCGTAATATAAGCCCTTCCCCCCAAAGAAGCCCCACTTAAGCTCATAGCCACATTTAGTACCGTATTTCCCCAAAATAAGACCTAAGTGGAAAATAAGCCCCAATGCATCTTTTGGAGCAAAAATTAATATAAGACCCAGTTTTATTTTGGGGGAAATACAGTAGCAACTCCTGACAGAAAGGTAGGAGATGCCATAATTAATGATAATTTTAAAACTGACATCTGAAAAAAATCACAAAGTGACATGAGGATTCTTGCTGATTAGCAATTGCAATAGCACTTAGACTTATATACCGCTTCACAGTGCTTTCCAGCCCTCTCTAAGCGGTTTATAGAGTCAGCTTCTTACCCCCAACAATCTGGGTCCTCATTTTATCTACCACGGAAGGATGGAAGGCTGAGGGAGGGAGAGAGGAAGGAAGGAAGGGAGGAAGGAAAGAAGGAATAGAGGGAGGAAAGGAAGGAGGGAGGGAGGAAGAGCAATAGCACTTAGACTTATATACCGCTTCACAGTGCTTTCCAGCCCTCTCTAAGCGATTTATAGTCAGCCTTTTGCCCCCAACAATCTGGGTCCTCGTTTTACCAACTTCAGAAAGACCGAAGGCCGAATCAACCATGAGCCAG